CCCCCCCCCCCCCCCAAAAATTAGTATGAAAAGTTTTAGAATATTTTAAAATTTACATAAGTTAAATCTAGAAAAGACGTAAACTTTCTCAGTACTTCTGAAAAGTTGCAATTCATATAAAAAATCTGAGAACATTTCTAAAAAGTTATAAAATTATATAGAAATTTTGAAAAATTGTAAAATTTACATAAAAATTCTGAAAAATTATGTGAAGAATCCTGAAAAAATTGTTATCAGGTCTGAACTGTGTATTAGAACTTCTCTTATCGTTTTCGTTAAATTTCAAACATATACTTTTATTTCAAAACAGAGTACACACTAATATATCTATTTTTAAAAAATAGATTTAATGCGCTGTTGGTAAAATAATAATGCAGCAACGTTTGTCAACAAAATATTAGACATAAAACAATAAATAACGATTTTTTATTGGTTATATAACAACCAGTGATATACATACACCAACGTGTACTGGTTGTACATGGCACGTTAATTTGGCTGTACATGGCACGGTTGTATCTTAACTCCTATTATAAAACTAATAACGAAATATGAGTCTACATCACAATATTGCTAAAAAAATTGACAAATTTCCAATTAGTCAAATATGAAAAAAGTAATCGATTGTGATTGGTCAATTCTTATGACTACGTCGTTTTACAACCTCTTAAAGCAAGGTTGTAAACAAGAACCCTAGACTGACAGCATATTAATGACAGAAATCAAGCAGACTTCTATATACTTGCTACATAATTCGGTGTAGATTTATGATCGATACTGCAACAGGATTTATCGAATGCAGATTTTGCTCTATATACATTTCTATTAGATTATATCGGCTTTATTAGCGAAACATGAACTTAATGCAGAGATGATTGATGATAATCAATTGCTAAATTCTTTTCAATCATCAAGCTAGATCGTTTCTTCCAATTCGCTAGTATGATGCAAACAATTTATTTACTTGGTAAAGTATATTGTATGTATTAAATATATATTTATTATATATATATATATATATGTAGAATAGATATTTATTAAATATATGTAATATATTTTTTAGTGTGTATAACAAAATTATTTTGAATGTATATTGAGTGTTTAATATTAAGTGTAGTTCATGGATAGGTAGAGTGAGCTAAATTAAATCGAAAAGTTTTATATTATTTTGCAATTTTCGCAACAGTTAACGAGATATTCATTTCTAAAAATCACCGAATAAGTATGTATCCGTCCGGCCTATCGCCAAATGCAAGCACGCAGTATGATACTGCCTAGTATGAGACTGCCCAGCGCAAAGAGGTGTTTTCTTTCGCTGCTCGTGCATTGCCAAGGCCATTTGTAGTAAATAACTTTAAGACAAAAATAGTTAGTAGAGTTTATCTGCTGATATTATTACAAAAATGTTTACCATATAAACAAACATGATTATGAATTTATTTTAACACATGTAATATCTCTCTACTGAATTGATATTTTGTGGTACATTCTGATATTAATTATGCATACGTAATGTACAAATAGATTCCGTATAGAAGCAAGAATAATTTCTTAATAAAAATATCATGCATATTTGTATGGTAATCTTAAAGTTGTTGAAAGGACTGTAGCAGAGCACACCTCCATCACTTGTCATATCATCATGCCTGAACCCGCAAAATGTTCAGCTATTTGATTAGAGAACTTTAATTGCTATTAATTTAAAAGCTCTATTATAGTCTTAATATTTACGTATAAGAATTTTAGACTTAAAATTATCTCAGGAACACACTCTTTTAAAAGGTGATCCGGTAGTTGCAGGACACTCCGTACACGCGCGCGCGCACACGCATACACACAAGAATAATTTCGTTATGTTAAAATATTTGTTATACTTTATAAACAGATATATTGATATCAAGAGGTATTTAGACTACATTTTCTCAGCGTTCTCTCTGAGGAAAATTTTATTTGATATAATAGTATACGTTACGTGTACGATATATTTCGAAAATTTTCATGGGAGTTCGTTCCGAAATGTAGCCTTACAAATAATGAGGCTTCACTTTCTTAAACATTAATTTAAAAGAAGAACGTGACTTATGTAAAAATATAAACTTTTATTCTAGTGAAGAGAGGGATGCCACGTAGCAAGCGAAGAGGACCTTCCAGCACAAATCACAATCATACTCCTATTGATATGTCAGTATCTGGTGCACATGAAGAGAGTTTACCTAGGCATCCTTCAAAACGGTTAAGACATACCTCTAGGTTCGAAACCATATTTTATTATAATAGTATATAAATATAAATATTTATTAAATTATACCTAACAATATCGTTACATTGTAAAATAAGAAAAATTAATATTAAAAGTCCTTTTTGATATAATACTTTTTTAATTGTCACATACATTATTATTGATTCATTATTGAATTAAATAAAAAGAATTTTTAATTTTTTTGTCTAATATATGAATAATATTTTTGCAGTGCCAGACGATATACAAAATCTGATGATGTATCCAATGCATCAATGTTCTCCCAAAAACGTTGTATCACCTGGTTCAGAGAATATACCTCGCCAGATGATACAGACACTCTCGGACCCGAAGGAATGGAAAAGTTTTGTGAAGATATTGGTGTAGAACCTGAAAATGTAGTAATGCTCGTTCTTGCATATAGAATGAATGCTCGCCAAATGGGCTTCTTCACACTGAGTGAATGGCTTAAAGGTTTCTCGGAGCTTCAGTGCGACTCGATTAGTAAAATACAACAGAAGCTCGAGTACCTAAGGAATCAACTAAACGACCCACACACATTTAAGGGAATTTATAGATATGCTTACGATTTTGCTAGAGTATGTGCGATGTTATCTATATTATCTATATTATAATATTCAGATTTACGCGTACGAATGTAACGAGCATCAAATTTGTCCATTGCTTCTGATTATTTTACTCGAACTCTTTATAGGACAAAGATCAACGTAGCATGGATATGGACACAGCAAGAGTGATGTTACAATTGCTTTTGGGAAAACATTGGCCACTGTTTACACAGTTTGCTCAGTTCCTAGATCAATCAAAGTACAAAGTGATTAATAAAGATCAATGGTGCAACATATTAGAATTTTCACGTACCATCAATCATGACTTATCTAATTATGATTTAGATGGAGCGTGTAAGTGCACAGGAGAGGACTTTATATTGATTTTAATAAAAACATAGTGGATTATCTTATATTTACAAAATTCATACGTTATTGTATATATAATATATGATTCTTTTAGGGCCAGTAATGCTTGATGAATTTGTTGAATGGTTAAAAATTCAACGAGACGAAGGATCATCTTCAACAGAAGCTAGAGGCAGCTGAAACATCATAAGAATAGTCCGTTGAACTAAAAACAATTCGTTTCTTTTATCATATAATATTCTGTAATTAACGACAAATTTCTGTTTATAAATACCATAATCTCGCAATATTTCCATTACCATCTCATACTATTTTTTTATTACGATTAAATGGTAGTGATGTATTGTAAGTAGCTTATTTTGATTTATTACTATGATTTAGAGTATCTTCTATACAAATTTGGCTGAAAATTTTTTATTTAATCTGTTTTTTTATTGCCTCTTGCAATTAATCCAGGGTTTGTCGCAGAAACTCTTGTGATTAGAAATAAAACTATTTTGATATAAGATTTACTTGTGCAATTTATAAAAATAATTTGATATATCAAATTATGGATAAATTAGTTGAACTGGTAATATAGCATTTTTCAAATTGAGTAATATTTCAGATAATTATAATTACCGTTGACTTCCAGTGATTGTAGACCATACATTTTGTGTGTCATTGCAGAAACATACTTTCTCTGGTGAAAATTTTTCTTCGAATTCTTCATATAAAAATTTCTTTTTTTTTTTCAAAATTCCTATATAATTTCGTAACATTTTGAAGAATTCGGATTTTTTTCCATAAGAATTTCTACACTTTTCAGAAATGTAAGAAGTTTATATCTTTGGAAGAAATCTTTATATTGGGTGTTCCATTTTAATTGATGTACTGAAGTATTTCGAGAATGTGATATATGTGTGTGTGAGATTGAAAAGTTTTAGATGGAAATGGCACGGTTTTGAGGGGGATGTATTTGGATCATGTTATTTTCTAGGAGCGCGAGCGTGACATAGAAGACAGCGCACTGGTCTATCATGCCAGAGATCCCGGATTCGATCCCAGTAGGAACTAAAATATTTACGCTCATGTCTCCTTGGAAAAAGCCGGCAATCTCCCGAGAGTTGTCCACAGAAATACCTCTAAAAAAATCTGCCGTTCAGAACCAGTATTAAAACTAGGTTCCATATGCTCGTGGCAGTTATTTTCTAGGCGGAGGCATCAAAGATATATGAAGATCGCCTCCACTTTTTTAAATGGAATATATGATTTTTTTATATAATATGATTTCTTTAATTATTCTGCATATGAAAATAATAAGGTAGCGATATCAAAAAATCATAATTCCATTTAAAAGAAGGGCGGTAATCTTCATATCTTTCTGGCGCCTCTACTTAGAAAAAAATGACGTAACAAAAATACATATATTCCCCTCGAAACCGTACCACTTTCATCTAAAACTTTTAATCCCGTACATGTTTTATTTTCGAGATATTTTAGTACGTTAGTTAAGATGAAATGCTCGGTATATGTAAATTCTGAAATGTTCTAACAATAAGATCTCTCATTCTATATTTTTCCGAAAAAAAATGTTATATATATATATATA